CCGTCATCGCATAGCTTTTGCAAGCAGATCATTGGCGTTTTGATTGCGTCTCGTGTAGTATGTTCATGCACAAGAGACGAGTAAAAGAGAAGTAGCGGCTCTCTCCGCGCGTGTTGGTCGTTCAGTCCTGCAGCCGCCAAGTGCTCACCTGGTCTTCTTGCCATCCTACAGCTACTGAGAGTCAAGCGCAGGACGTCAGCAGCGTCAATCTACTACCGTGCACGACAGACACAGATGCGCAAAGTAGACTCGCTGCTACCGATACACAGATACGTTACCTGTGATGGAGGGCCGATAGCATACCGTGTCTAGTCACGACGAAGAGATGAACGAGCTCTTCTTTCGCTCCGCGCAGCACTTCATGTCGTTCTTCGTGCATGTGACGCACAATCGCTAGTCTATATCGTGACATACATCCTTCCCTGCTCGAGTCAACCCGCCGTTCGACCGAAACAAGTGAGTCAGCTGCAAAACAGGAGTTCAGAAGACACGGCAGTTTCTCGCTGAGTCCCACAAAGCGGGCACGACATCCGGATGTGACGATGAGATTCCATGATTCGTCGTCGTCCGTGTTCGAGAAAGGTTGCGAGCCGGCTGAACCCTCTTAGTAACGGCCGACGGACGCGTTACCTCCTGTTCTGCTGAGATGCAGGAAGGCAAGATGCGGGATCAGAGCGTCGTGGTACCATATCCCTCACAATGGCAAATCTCCGAGCGCGACGTGCAACCGCATGAAGAACGGCGGCGCTCACAATCTACACTCTCGACAGTTTCTCCATACCGCTACGTACAGGGCGTTCGCTCAAGTGCACTGCAAGCCGCAGCAGTTCGTGCGTAGAGGTCCGCTTCAACTCGGGCCGAAGCGTGGCCACATCGTGGTCGGCTTAAGAGCGTTGTATCTTGCAAGGAAGGGGTACAAGCAGAACAGAATCTCGACAGCTCTAGTTGACGTGATCCAAATCATGTGGTGGTGTCAAGTACGTCCATTATTATGATAACTAACGACTGATAAGTGTGACAAGAAGTACGGCCCGGGTATCGGGTCGACAACTAAAGGGCTCCGTAGAGCCAGGGGCGACGGCAACGAGGTCAGAGACCCTCCTACCGAAGCCAACTACGAGTCCATCATGACCGCTAAGGCGACCAAGTAGACTGAGGACATGCGTACCGCCGGAGCGGCAGCACGTACAACGCGGGTATGCTGCCATATAAGGCAACAAACCCCTTTAGGACCGCTTGCGCGACCCCCGACGTGGAGTGCGAACACCGAAGTGACTGCGTGGCGTGGAGAACGCCAACCCGCCATATATCTCTCCGAGGAGCTCAACCATCTGCGATGGTGGCCCCCTTCAGCCGCTTGCGCGGCCCCCGACGTGGAGTGCGATCACCGAAGTGACTGCGTGGCGTGGAGAACGCCAACCCGCCGTATATCTCTCCGAGGAGCTCAACCATCTGCGATGGTGGCTCCCTTCAGCCGCTTGCGCGGCCCCCGACGTGGAGTGCGATCACCGAAGTGACTGCGTGGCGTGGAGAACGCCAACCCGCCATATATCTCTCCGCGGAGCTCAACCATCTGCGATGGTGGCTCCCTTCAGCCGCTTGCGCGGCCCCCGACGTGGAGTGCGATCACCGAAGTGACTGCGTGGCGTGGAGAACGCCAACCCGCCATATATCTCTCCGCGGAGCTCAACCATCTGCGATGGTGGCTCCCTTCAGCCGCTTGCGCGGCCCCCGACGTGGAGTGCGATCACCGAAGTGACTGCGTGGCGTGGAGAACGCCAACCCGCCGTATATCTCTCCGAGGAGCTCAACCATCTGCGATGGTGGCTCCCTTCAGCCGCTTGCGCGGCCCCCGACGTGGAGTGCGATCACCGAAGTGACTGCGTGGCGTGGAGAACGCCAACCCGCCGTATATCTCTCCGCGGAGCTCAACCATCTGCGATGGTGGCTCCCTTCAGCCGCTTGCGCGGCCCCCGACGTGGAGTGCGATCACCGAAGTGACTGCGTGGCGTGGAGAACGCCAACCCGCCATATATCTCTCCGCGGAGCTCAACCATCTGCGATGGTGGCTCCCTTCAGCCGCTTGCGCGGCCCCCGACGTGGAGTGCGATCACCGAAGTGACTGCGTGGCGTGGAGAACGCCAACCCGCCGTATATCTCTCCGAGGAGCTCAACCATCTGCGATGGTGGCTCCCTTCAGCCGCTTGCGCGGCCCCCGACGTGGAGTGCGATCACCGAAGTGACTGCGTGGCGTGGAGAACGCCAACCCGCCGTATATCTCTCCGAGGAGCTCAACCATCTGCGATGGTGGCCCCTTCAGCCGCTCGCGCGGCCCCTTGACGTGGAGTGTGCGCTCGCCGCAGCGGCGACACGTGGCGCGGGGTACGCCTCCAGTCCGTAAAACACCCCTGCTAGGGCCGCTTGCGCGACCCGTCGGTCTCCTACGCCCACTCCCGCGACTGCGAGTGCAGCGTGCCCGCGTCAGATCTTCGACCACGTCGGCTCCCCAAGGGGAGGATTCCCTCCGACGTGACTGCCCCGAAGGGAAAAAGACTGGCTTGAGCTGAACCGTGAAAATTTGGGAATGTCGTGATCCAAATCATAGCCACGTCGCGCAAGTCTGTTACAGCTTAGTCAGCCAGCCAGCATAAACATGCGCGGCTCAACGTTTGCCAAGTGGTGTGAGAGAGAGGAAGACCTGCTTCGGATGCACAACGATTGCTACGACGACTTCATGGACGGGTTCTACCACGCACTTGAGGTACATTTGGCGCTTGTTACTGTCGGTTCACTTGTGTGATAACCTCCGATGCCTACAAACTGCTCGCACAGCGACAGCGGAAGCAGAGCTACGATGACCTCACAGTGCTATCTCCCTCCTCCCTTCAACAAGTCCTTCGCCCCCATCGTTTCTCGTCGCGCCACTTTCAAACGGTGTCGTAAGTTGTATCGATACAGGTTGCGACCGACCACACGTGCCGTTGTTCCGCTCAACCCGGAAGTATAAATATAGAAATCCACACGACGTCTTCCGACACACCGGGCGGTTTCGATCTCCACGTGCGCTTTTCTTGTACGACACCTGTCCGAAACTTCTGCATCTGGTCGCACTTGCGCATGTAGGAGGGCATCAGTCCTGCAGCCTGCGCAAACACGCGCAACACACAAACAGACTCTTTCCGTTTGCACTTGGCCGACACGCCCGTAGTGTGTTCTGTACGGAACGACACTACAACGTCTAGTGGGGAAGACGTTCGTCGGTTTGTACCCTTCGAGCTCGGACCACAGCGCGACAATAGCTGGCAGCTGCCGTCCGCTCACGCACAGACACACTGCATCGATCCTGATGTACGACTGTGCGTGTGGTCTTTCGTGAGCATTCAGCCGGCAGCTGCCGCCCGCCACGTTTCGCGTTTACGACGACCACCTCCCGGGAACAGTGGGCGTGTTGCACTGTGTCCGTGAACGGTTGTCTGTCGCCTGTCCATGCCGTCTGTGCAGAGTGACTGGCCTTTCGCGACTCATTCCGTGCCCAGCGCGGGATGAGTGCTCAGGCATTGCCGACCGTACGTTACCTGCGAGCACCTACCTACCTACCTACCTACCTGGTCGTGAAACAGGATCCGAGACGGTCGGCGATAGCGGCTGACGGGTTCCGCGGAATTCCGCAACGTTCGTTCAGAAGAGACACAGTGTCTCACCTGCTGCGACCCATCTGCCGCTCGTCACTGCTATTGGTGGAAAAGGTAGTTGCCGCACAGGAGGCTGCCGAATGTTTCGTGGTTGGTCGTGGAACACACGCACGTTTTGGCACGACAGTACACCGACGGTCATCTTTTGGCAGGTCCGACCACCTTTTGTCATCACGCAGCATTTGCCCTGCTTGACGAACCATGCGCTACCTTCTTCCTTCCTTCGAGATCGTTCGTACGTCCGAGTCAAGCTCTATGCATCGCGAAGCCATATCGCGGTCCACCGCCATTCGGACGACGAGCTGATGGCCGCTCTGTAGCCGGCTGCTTATTACTCGATCTGCTTCCTCCTTTAGTTTCCACGACCGTGTAATCGTGCGACTACACGGATGCTGTACCTCAGTAGGCTCACTGAGACGGTAGTGATCCACGCCATGCCGTGCACCAGCTGTAGCTACCTCGACGTCCGCTTTGCAATGTACAGCATACCGCACAAGCATCGATCTCTTCATGCGACAAGAACGTGCGCTTTTTTTTTCATACCCTCCGGAGCGACAACGAGTGTTCATCGTAATGTACACACGTTCTGGTCGTCGGATATATCCACTACCGCGCGTGCGTCCGTCCGTGCGTCCGTCCGTCCTTTGGTCGTCGGATGTGCCCAGTGGTCGTGCATCCAGAACTTCAGCTCCCGCTTATCGATTTGAACGGGATCTCGCTTGCCTCGGAATTCGGCGGCCTTCGTCTTTGGAACACCGCGGACCGAATCAGAAGCTAATTTGCCCTCGGAGCAACAACCAACCAACTACCCCGTTTTGCCGGTAAAGCAACGGCCTCGCAATGTCTCGCCCTGTCCAAACGAATCATCGACCACCGCTAACGACATGTCCGTGTTTCTATCCATATGTTTAAACAACCAGAGCGAAAGGCAGGCAGTTAGACAGACCCACAGACAGACCCACAGACAGACCCGCAGACAGACAGACAGACGGACGGCCCGACCGACCGACAGCCGCGTGTGGCTCCTCCTCTGTGTCCCTCTCTCTCTCTCTCTCCGTCTGTGGGTGCGGCCACTTGATCCGCCGATCGCCCCCGCTCTCTATCTTCGCCTTCTGTGAGAGAAACGAGTTGAGCGGCTCAGTCGAAAAGCGAAAGAGCCCACTCACTCACCCACTCTCACTCACTCACCCAACCAGCCCCGTTCTTTTGCCACGACCGCCTCGCGATCGATCCGCGACGACGACCACCGCAACGCCGTCGTGCATCCAACTCGGCGAAAGCCCCACAATCTCTCTGGCCCTTAAGAACATGACCGGCAGTAGCAGCTTCCCGACGGCGCTGTCGGCGGCCCCGACCCCAGCGCCACCGCCACCGCCGCCACTGCCAACGACGACCACGTCACCACCGGACACTGTCGCGCCCCGCGGCTCGAGCTCGAGCAGTCCCGACAGCTCTGTCGACGGACACGATGCGCGCCGGAGCGCCAGTAGCGCGAGCAACAGCCCCATGCGGCGGCTGCCTCCAGTGCTACGCGCGCCTTCGCTCGCGGCCAGTGCAGCCAACGAGTGTCCCCCGACCACGTCGTCGGCCACGTCCGACAGTGCTCCGACCGTGACGCGGTCGCTCGGACAGACGTCGCCGAGCCAAGCGCAGGGCCCACCGAGTCAGAGTGCACTGGCCCCGTCGTCGCTGTCACTGTCGGCTCCGACGTCCGTGGTCAGTGCCAGTGCAGGTCGGGTCCTCCCTGGCGTCACGCGCCGTCACTTGTACCCGGCGTCGTCGCTCTCCAGTCCCTACAGTGGCAATGGCAATGCACCCGCAGCTGCGGTCGCGTCGCCCTCCACGCCATTGCCGCTCCCGTACTTTGGCGCGTCCGAAGACGCTGGTCGTGGCACGACAAGAGTCACGTCGTCGTCGTCGTCGTACAATCACCACAACCGCCTCTCGCCCGTGTCGTCGCCGGCCATGACTGGCGAGTCCTGGGTACAGAACGCACCAGCGAGCACCAGCGTCGCCACTCGTGGCTTGAAGCGGCACTTGCCACAGCAGCAGCAGCAGTACAGCAGTCCACTGCGCAACGGGTACGAGTCCGCCAACAAGATCGGAGGAGGAGGGCCAAGTGTCCGGATGCTGCCACTGCAGCAGAAAGCTGCGAGTGCAGCCGGTACCACGTCGACGACCATGTCTCGTCGTGCATCGAGCAGCTTGAGTGGAACGGGCATCCCTGTGAAGAGCAGCATTGCTAGTGCTGGTGCTGGTGGTAGTAGCTCTAGTGCTACCGCATCTCGTCTTCGCTCTTCGCATGCACCGAAATCGTATGGCGATCCGCCAAGTGAAGATCCAATGCAGTACGAGCCGCTCGGAGAAGCCCGTCATCCGCGTAATAGTACGCGCTACGAGACGTGGACGTCGAAGCAACTTCGTAAGAAGTGCTCGCACTTAAAACTGCGCGGCCTGAAGAACGTGAAGAAGCACGTGATGGTCGAGGCACTGTATCGATACTATCGGAATCAGCGGCTAAAAGACATGGCAAACGCTGCTAGTATCGACAAGACCGTTGGTAGCACTAGTAGTGCAGCTCTGCAGCACAAACAGACCATGTCACCACAGCAGCACCCGCAACGGATGGAAGGGAGACGACCATCTAGCAATGGCGCAAGTTCGATGTCGGGGTCACGTTCGGATACGCCGTATCGATCACGGTATGAGCAGCGTAGTGCTGGCCCGACGTCGCAGTCCCAATATGGCTCTTCACGTTCTCGGAGTTATGTCAACTATGGCAGTCAGAGTCCGTCCCCGCCGTCGAGTGGTGGCGATAGTGGAGGCCCGCGATCGCAGCGAGATGACTCGCTTACTACGAGTCGACAGTACCTTGATGAGGAATTCAAAGGAGACCCGCATCCGAAGGAAGTGCCTGTGACGTCAGAAGATGTGATCCGCCTCGTGGATGTTGTGCTGTCGCCCGATTTCGTTGACCGGTTGGCCGCAGAGCTGTCGCGTTGGCAGTTTTGGGTCGACATTCGTGAAATGTACATTGCGCTGCTGAGCCGTCAGCATCCACCCGGATCCGCTGGTTCACGAGCAGAACGGAATTCTGTTGGCACAGGCGGCAGCGCGACGAACTCGCGCAATTTCAAGTGGAGCAGCATGCAGCTGTGGGAGATCTGGAAAGAGCTCACGTTTGCGTACACCAAGACGTGCTTTGAGTTTACAACTGCTGGTATGAACAAGAGTGAGCAAACCTGCATATCGCTTCTGCTTGCTGGGGGTCGCGTACATTGAGCTCGTTCCGTGTTTTGGTGGCTCGAGCAACAAAGGAGTCGACACCCCTTGACGAGATGCGACCGTGATAACGACTGCTATCGAGGAATATGTCGGCACCATGCGGACTTGGAAGATGTACTGACTTGTTGTTGCTTGTCTCTTGTGATGGTTGTAGGAGTGGACGACCGCGAGTACATCAACTTTTGCGACGGCAGACCAGACGTGTACTACCTGCACCAGCGACTGCATGCTCGGCCCGATCTACTGCATCTGATCAAGTCAAACGAGTATATTGACGAGAACTGCACGACCGAAGCGTCCGAGTCGATTGCACACGAGCAGCAACAAGCGCATCAGAATCAAGAGACGGGGCCCTTGATCGGATCCGGGACTCCGATGTTGCGCAACCACAAGCGGTACAAACGGTCTGTCCCGACTGGACCGACTTCGGACGCGTATAACAGTGCACGCGCTATTGCTGCGTTCCGTGATGGTACTGCAGGCGCTGATGGCACCGGCGGCGCCGTCAGCAGAGAGAACAGCGGCGACAACGGATGTGGCCAAGGCAGCGGTGATTTACGTGGTCACTCACCGGAAGAGAATAGCACGGAAAACTCTGAGACGACCGGGGAAGAAGGCAGCAGTAGCAACACGGCCAACTCGAACGCAAGTAACAGCTCGATGGATACGTCAATGCGCGCTGCTTTGGCAGAGCAAAAGTACTTTGGTCTGCTGCTGCAGAATTTCGAGGTGATCTTTGAGTCTCTTCACAATAAGAAGGTGCTGCTAGCAACTCTTCGCAAGGACAGCAAAGCGCCGGACCAGCTGATTGCTGACTTGCACGATGACATTCACGTTTTGTCGGCACTGAAGAAAGAGTTTCGGAACAAACTGCGGCGGACGATACAATGAGACGAGCAAAGCATGTCGACGTGGGAGATTGTACCGACGCTTGATCGAGTGAAGATCGCACGTTTGTGGGAAGAATCGACTATGTGAGCTGGTGTAGTAGTGTCTAATGTACGCTGAGCTGTGCAGTGAGCTGGAGGAGATGAAAGGTGGTGTTGAAACTGAGTGAGGCTATTTATTAACGTTGGTTGCTGTGGATCCGCTGTCATATCGAAAGCAAACTAACACTTGAGCGCGTACTGAACAATATCAACCAAGCGTACTGCCGTGCATGTCGACTGGCAAAGAACGTAGCGACGTCTCAGTACTTTGATCGCCCTTGGCAAAGGATGCCAACGCCGACCTCTACGCCTCCCGCTGCATCCAGATCCCTGTCAGTCTTTTTGCACATGAAGGCAGAAAGCACCACTACCACCATCGCTTCCAATCATCACTGCCTCGTCTCGTCGCTGAAGTTTTCTTGGCTCTGTCTCTCTCTCTCTGATTTTGTAACGACCGCACCTTATTGTAAAATACTGAGCACAGAAGGCTTAGCGATGCTCACTAACACTACATCTTTCAATGGTTTGCTCTATCACCTGCAGCAAACAATTGAGCTCGACACGGACTGAGAACGTTTCACTAGGAAGGCTCGCCAACTGGTGTCTGCAGACGTCGTCGATCGTATCGTCTCTCTCATTTCGCGTCACGTCCTCCGTTCTCGGCAGATCTCGTCCTACTGGCCTGCTCGCAAATGAAGGCAGCTCGCGATGGGTACGAGCCATGTCTTCGGTTCGTTCTCGTGTTGTCAAGCTGTAGAAAAAATGCTTCCCATCCTAGAAACAAAGAGACAGGTACGACGGCAGCTAAGTTCTCGTCGTCGCAGTACGTCTGTCACGCCGATCTTGCAACTGTCGGGCTTGTCGTGGTCTTCCGTCCGAAGCCCTTGCGACTTTGTGAGACCAACGGGCATTCTGTGCGATGTTGTGTCGTTGCTAGCCGATCTGTCCGCACTTTTCCGTGTGTTTCCTCGCTGTTTATCGCTCGCGAACCATGTAGGGCGGGCAATGGAGATGCGCATATCAAGCAGAGCAGCTCCGCGTTCTGACCGTGACCGTATGAACGTGAGGGTAGCGGTCAATAGTCTGTTGCGAAGATGCTGCATCAGATGTAACTTCCGATCTATCTAAACCAGCTATGTGCTCCCGCCTCTTGAACAGCTGCTGTCCTCTCTTTCGACCTTGTACGACAAGCACATTTGCTGGCTCATCTATTGCCAATCCTACCTCACCGGGATACAGCTATCAATCATGGCGCTGCCAATGTGATCGAAGCTGCACGCGTTGTAGCCGTGCTATGTGTATATGACTAAGAAAAAGCACGACAACAAGCAGCAACGACGCAGGGGTCGTGCTGACATGGCGTAGGTAGAGGAGCTCTTGAACTGACACGAATGGCTGTTCGCTCTTGGGAGAAAACGAGCGACTCGAGATGCTTCGCACACACACGAGTACATCACGATAAACTCCTTACAAGTATCTCCTTACTGACATCAGCCATTGCTGTGCCCGACACTGCCTATATACAGCGTGTGTGGTTGGCTTTGCTAGAAAAGCATCGCAGACTCACCCTTGGCATGTGGGTCGTGCACGTACGTTTGACTGCAGTAAAACACGCTCTATGATGTTGTAAGCAAGATGAGACGCTTGACGCACAATTTCTGGTGGAGGCTTGCAAGGTGCCCGCAGTGCGTAAATCTTCGGGCCGTGCGTGAAGCGTCAATCATACCTTGGGATTCAGGCTATCCATGTACATTGTGGCGTAGCCGTTACCATACATTAGCGATAACGAACGTACAAGTGCGCGGCGTTCACACATCAACATGGCGTCATATATCGCTGAGATCGGCTGCACCTGAGGACGACAGGACCAAATGAACAAAACTAACATCAATCTTCTCCTCTCTTCTCACATACAATACGCGCTACATTTACAAGCGCGTCCACTAGCTTCCCTTTACGTAACAACACAAACGGCTACATTCGACCATCAGAGCACCTGGCTGACTCAGTAGACGACGCCCGTAATTCGTTAGGTGAGATGACTCTGCCGGACGCCTGTGTCACAGCCACTAATGGTAACAAAGGCAGATAATTTGAGGAAGAGTGTGTGTGAAAGCAGCAGGGCTTATTCGGCAGTCGCCGTCCTTGTGTGTCTGCGGCCAATGCAGCTGCATCGTTGGTTGGTTTTAGCCAAACACTTTTACCCGTCGAGTTTTGGGTCTACTGCTCGACCCATTCCTTCCTGTGACGATACGATTGTAACGCTGAAGCACTGACGTCGCAAGCGTTCTTCGGTCGACAACCCGGGCGTCAATTTGGGCAACACTTCCTCGCAGTAAGAACCACATTCTCACCCAGCCACATCTACGATGAGTACGAATGTAACGCATGCCTAGGATCGTAGTTACATCTGGACCAGTCGTTGATTTACATACGAGTTCGTCGTAGCGACAGGTGAAGCACACGCGATGGTATGGTATCGTCCCATCGGGTTTCGGATCCGTTGACCACTTCGTTGTCCATCTTGGGGATTGTTTTACAGCACGTACTTCTTTGCTATAAAATGCGGACCTTCCCCGACGCGATCTGCCGTGGGAACATGGCGAAATCGATTACGTGTTGAATGCAAGCACAACTAACTGTCGCTATGCGCGATGTTCAATCGATCCCATGAAGCGAAAAGGCCTTTCCATTCATTTGTCACTTTGCGAGGCTGTACCATTTCCGTCTTCTGTTGCTTCGACACAATTCGACTAACCTGAAGTGATGTCCTACCGGCCCTACCCTTCCTGATCACAATTATTATCCATGACTTTGCGCCCTCAACATCGGCAATGGAAATATACGACAAGCAAAGTGGCAGCTACATCGAGAGCAAGAGGTACGTTTCGTAAATCGGTGTCAGTGCAGCAGTAGGTGAGGTCAACCGAAAGGTCATCCTTACGACTCGGGCAGTATCAGTGACGGACGCTATTTACAACGCTGCGCACACAACATGGCTGTTTTTGCTATGTGGTTTGCCTTTACGCAACATCTCAGTTCTCCCACATAGTTTTTTTTCACTCCGATCAAGTACTGGATCTATCCAAGACTTCTCGTAGCTATGGATCTGCGAAACAAGACGCTAAACGCTTCATCCGAAGATATGGGCTTGACCGATGACCGTTGAGATGACTTGATGGGATCCGACTGGATTGAAAATCGAAGAATTACCGCTATATATGTTTACAGCGTTCGTACGCTCAAAGTGACGCTACCACGCAAGTTAGTATACTTGTCTCGACGAAACTACGACATGGAGGCGTTTGACGGTATCACGAAACTATCGTGTCTGTATCTGACTATCATGTGCACCATACTTCAATGTTTCGACGATATTACATTGTCCCACATGGAGCTACAGCTTTACCAGTACGGGGGCCCACGCCGACGCTTTAGTGCAGCTAACCTCAGGCAGCAAAAATCGTATCCTTTCCATGTAGATGATGCAGGTAAGAGTCGTACGTAACGTGTGCATCCCAGTTCCATTTTTTCATCTTGCGGTGCATAGAATCGCGTCATAAGGATCGTATTTATTTTCAATCCCACTTCGCTTCGGGTATATGGACATGCATTACATAATCACGACAATGAGCACAGCGCAACAAAAAAGCACACAACAAAAGACGCATTCGTGGTGAATAGCATACGGCCAAACATACACATGTACAAAATCACGTGGATTGTTCGGTATTCTTGATATTATTTAGTATGTGTTGTAGTAAATTAAAGAAATAACATTTCCGTCAAATTGGAAATGCCGAGTCAGGCTTATGTACCCATTAGGCACGAAGGTTTGCAACATAAAAGTTGTTGACACGCCAGTAACTTGCCACATGATACATATCTTTCTGACACAAGCAGCATGATTCAACATCTTGGCAAGTGAAGCATCTTTATTTAGAATGCGTAGCATAGTGATGTATCAGTATATTCTATTGCATGTTTGAGGTGGCCCAGGAGGACCGAGTTGCTACGCTTACGGGCGTTATGTCTTCCGTGCAGATACCAGTATTATTGCGTCTATCTTCGCAGCAACCATACCATAGAATTTTGATCAACCCGACACCGCTACCACCGTTTAGCAAATTCCTCTTAGTGACGTTTACAATATTCCTCCAGAATTGTTGCTATGTCAACGTAACATCTTTCCCATGTGTTCGTAATTACCCACGCCACCACGCGCAATAGCACCAAAATAATGCCGTCAGCTCTTAACAATCGATTTTTGGTCGATGGTGCTTGCTTCTGCGTCATCGCATAATGCCTCGAGTCGCAACTCAAACATCTTACAAAGCATCAAGTACGCGTCGATTAAACACGACTTTGTCTCATCGCATTCAATCTTACGATAATATCGACACAAAAGCTGCGCATAATAAATGCCGAAACACAAAATATGGGCGAGAGAGTCAAAAGAAACGTGGACTTACATTTGAACGACAAACAACACTGTTAGGCTACGTTGGAAGCGTCAAATCACAATTTCTCTATTGTAAGACGACCGCCGTCGAGTCTAGATGTAGAGGTTTATAATCAATGATAAAACGAGGGAATGCAGACGATATACGTGAATGTGTATGTATGATTCCACGCATGAGTATACGCGGTCAAAAAGTACCATCTCTGGTCCATTTCTTCAGACAGTTGGGCTAAAAACGGCCACCACGACGAGTCGCGTCAAACACGTCGCACTGAACTTGTCCAGCTTCTATTCCAGCTCCTATCAAATTCATAAAAGAATCTTACATCTTATCATCGAGCTTGAGGTCGCAATTGTTGTCAAACTGGTGAATTTGCAGATATCAGTTGTGGTATAGTAGTTAGTTAGATCTGTTCGCTCATAGTCTCACCGTACAAAAACAACGATCGCCGAGTTAAGTCGGCGACACAGGCTGGTACGTTATGATAATTCCCTCGCGG